AGTAAAATGTCTGGTCTATATTGTATTGTAATTTAAAGCTTGTACAGGATAATCGTATAATATACAAGAACACATCTACACCATGAACCGGTTCACCGCCTGAGGACACACCTGACACGCTCGGGAGCAGAAATACCGGTCTCTACAGGGACATGCCTGGTTGGCTTCTTTCCCGCAAACACTGCAGGGAGGTTTGTCCGCCCCCATATTTGCACTCCGCTTGAATGTGTACCGTTAAAGTTGATCAGGGGTCACTATGTCTCCTATTTAGCACATCTTTAGACTACCTGATTGTGCTGTGTGACGCTACAAAGTAGCGTTGGCGTCAAATTTCCCACGCTTGTATGTAAATGCCAAATATACTCGAGCGACGAAGGTGTAAAACAACTGACTCTGAAGGGGAAAGGAGGTTTGTTGTTGTTGATGTGCACACCAGTGCGCAGTGTGCTTCTTCCGCACTTAGGCACGTAAGGATAGAGCCCATGTACTTAGAAATGTCATGTACGTTAAGATGGCACTATTTGGAACCAAGTAGGTAGTCGAACAATTGTAGGTTTGCGAGAGAGTTCCTTGTGGTGTCTTGTGGTTTGTTGACGTGGGTGTGTAAACCAGGAATGGATGCAATGCAACGCGATTCTCGCAACGAGATTCTCGCAACGCGGTTCTCGAAACACGATTCTCACTGCTAATCAACCCCGGAGATAGTAAGTATCTCAATTCTCACCCCTAAGCCTTCTTCTGCACCTAGGTTCACCTTTCGCTTAAGCTGTCTACTATCTATTGGTAACTATGGGTATATGGGTATATCTACCAATGCAGCCAATGCTCCGAACCCCCATTAGTACGAAACACCGTCCCAGATGAAGTAGGTAAAAAGTTGTGGTACCACCTATGGGCCGTGGCATGGCACTGTAGACCCGTTGAAGCAAAATGCGTCCAAATCGGAAATTCTTCTTTTGTGATACTTTCTGCGCGAACTTTTAAATAGTTTTCATTGGATGTCATCCAAGAGTTATGAGCTCACAACAGCCCACAATGCGGTGACGCCGGGCGGTGTGTCGTGGCCCGAGTCCGCGGTCCGTCACTGCTGACTCCAGAAATCCAAAGGTTTCTCCATAAAAGCACTTCGCACGTTTAATATATCCAGTATGTTTACTGCGTGATGTTTGGCAACGTATTTTAATATTCACAACGTGTACTGTATGCTTGATATGATATCTAGTTCGTTCGGGATTTGATCCATCTGGACTATCGTGTATATACAGATTTCGTCCGCGCGACACCGGAAACGACTGGCGGTGCTGAAAACTTTTCTTATGCCATTCTTCGTGAACGCTTGTTGTGGTCCATATTGCGCATAGTCCATGATCATCTAGATACTAACTCAGATTGGCTTGAATGGGGGGGGGGGTACACACTTGTCCAAACAGCGGTTGCCATAGATACATAAAATTACACTGAACAACTACTATACCTGATATAGGTGATATGTTGCATACCAAGTTGCAAAACTTGATGTTTTAGTGCACAGGTTGGGCACACGGTTGTTGATCGCATACTTCCCGCTTTTATAGGTCGGGACCACTAGGGAACGTAAATTAGGTGGTACACGCACACAACCCGTCTACTCCAAGCTGGAAGTATGCTCGTGCAACATACACAACAACAAAAATACGCGCACACTCGTACGAACTTGACCTTGGCATCAAGAACTCAACCTATGTGCAACAACCAAGTAAATTAGCGTGCAAAACGATAGAAAATCTAGACAAATCTGAAGTTTTTAGTGGCAGCCAACGGGGCCCGCGCAGATCCGCGAATTTGTGTAACCACGTGCTCGCCACTCGATACGGATAGTTGCATATGGCTCGATGGAACTGTTGCAGAGCGCGATCACGTGATCATCTGATTCTTGTTCACGATATGCATTATGCACTCGGGTGGTCAATGATTGATTGGTCACCGTCGCTTAAGGGAAGAGTAAATTTGTGGACCCAGGGTTTTGGGTTTTGGGTCCTTGATGTATTGGGTTACATCGAAATTAGGTTTATCCTCGACGAAGTTGTAACTGATCAACAAAAGCTGCTGTACATACCATTTTCTTTCACGGTGTGTATCTGCCATGATAATCATACTGCCATGTTCTTCTCATACAAATATGGTCGAGACATACATATACGTAAGATAATGTCGGATTTCTGCTCACTGTACTGATCTCGGAACTACCATGACTAATAACAAAGGATCGCATAGGAATCTAAGAAGCGGCTTTTAAATTATCATCAGCTTGCTAGAAAGTCTAAAGCTAGTGTATGAAATACGAAGCACACTATGGAGTCTATACGCTTTGTACGTATGTGGTAAAATGCGTAGATATAGTTGTTATGTGGGAATATTGGACTTTCACTCGCATTTACCCCGATTTGGCAATGTAAGCTGATCATCCTGGGTTTAGGGTTTTACTTTTAGGTTACACCGATTATTACATCATCAGATATATCTGTAGGAAGTTTTATACGTTCATTTAAATAGCTATATGAGATTGTTGTGTATACAAACACAGATATACTACAACTATATCGCATCAATGTCCTACATCGCACATACAATATGGCGGATGAAGAAAATATGTCGGTGCCAAATGTGACGGAATGGGCCAACGTAAGCTTCACCGACGAGCAGTATCAGAAATTCCCCGAATTGGCCAAACAAAACGACACCGTCAACTACACTCAATTCTCCAACTGGATTCAGAATCTACAGCAAATAGTATGCTAACTTGAATTATTGGGGTATATGGTATATTTTTCCTACCGCTATGTCGGGATGAAGTATTTCACGCATTATTGGAGGCATGTTAGGCTTGCAAGGCTACCAAGGCTATTAAAGTTATGAGCAACTGTGCCTACTATAGCCTGTAACATAATTAACACAGCTATCTGGTTGTCTCAGACAGGTCCTTCCTCCGAAAAGCTCCATCACTTGGATTCAGCAGCATTCTTAGCGCTTGGTTTTCTGCTGCTGCTCACTCTGATAACGATCTGGATCTTCCGATATAAAAAGTATGCTCCGTTGTTTCCATATTCACTCAAAACCATGATTTTGTTCTTTTAGTAACGAGTAAGTATCTTTGTTGTCGAACAACACGCGATATAACGATAACTAAACGAATGGTATCGCGGCTCTAACGTTATTTATCACTACGTTGCGCCAGGCAATGCGCTCACTACGCCGTATCGTCTCGTCATCTTACATGACGTACACTATTGAACAACCAAAAATAGATTCTCACAATCACCTGCCACCGTATGCCTCCTTTTTTGTGTTATTTATCTATATATATATATATATATATGTATAAAGTATGTATGTAGGTATGTATGTATATATATATAGTGTGTGTGTATATACATATATATATATATATTGTGTGTGTAGTAAATACCAACATCTATACATATATATATATATATAT